GTCTGCTTTCAGGAAAGCCCAGTCAGGATAACCACACTGCTCCAGGGCCTGTCGTGTGTGTGATTTCTCTGAGCAGGGTGGTTATGTGAGTATCAGTCACATGGAGGCAGGGCTTAAAAGCCTGATTTTTTTGCCTGAAACTCTCAGACTGAAGAAGTCTCTTGGAGGAGAGACGAAACGTTTCATTAGAGAAGAACCCGTCCAGACGACCTATACATTTTTTTCTTTTTCATTATCTTTATTTTAATCTCATCAAACTTTATTTAAATGACAAAAAAAAACACATCTGTATTCACGTCAACCATCAAATTTCCTTCCAAACAAAAAACACATGGGTACAGTCAGACACAAAAAGTGCAAATTTATGAAGAGTTGATCAAACAAAATCATGTAGGAAGTTCAGTGTAAACCCCACCACCCCACCCACCACCCTTCCCACCCACCCACATCTAGATGTTCACAGTAACATTCCACAAAAAAAACATCCATCCAAAGACAAAACCAGTCCTGAGAAACTAATCTCTATAAAGAACAATGTCCTGTCATATTTTAGTGCAGTGTTCAGTACATAATCTCCAGTGTTTAAAACATCCTTTTAGTAAACAATAAAATGCCCAATTATGGAAAAAAACAAAACAATGTTTAAAAAATGTAAAAATGACAGAAACAATGTGAGCCTGCCAACCACAGTTCTATTTAAACAATCAAAAGGATCTCACAATCTCAGGAACAGCAGATTGTAGCTTTCACAAGATCATGGTTTTGGTATGTGTGGGTACTTTATTTGGACTTTCTGGACAGTCAAGACAGCACAACACCTTCACATGCTATCTATGTGAGTTCTAGCTGTATATCACTTTTGTACATGTTTGGTCTGCTGCTGTCTACTACTAGTTAATTTCACAGCCAGAAAAGCACAGCAAGCTGAAAAAAGCAGCTCTTATATAGGCTCTGGCTACCATGCAGCATTAAGCATCCATACAGAATGCCCTGCTTACTACAGAATCAGCAATATTAGTGAAATGCAAGAAAAGTAAAGTACATTTAAAAAGCAGAAGTGAGCCTTTGTCTTTGAGATATTATCTTTATGCAGATTTCAAACCTTTCATTCTCACCCTTGGGGAGCTTTCTTATAATTTTTCCCAGATTCAATCAGGCACATGTGACAGTCTGCATTGGCATCTTGGACCCTTATTTTCACTCTTTTGATGTTCCAAGGCTGTGTTTGGGCTGAGCGCTGCAGGTTACACATGGTGCTCAGAAGCAGAGACAATCATGTGGGAAACCTCTCAGCTTCATCTGAAAACACGAGCAGAGTTAACACATTATCTAAGAGATTAAAATTGCTGAAGGCAAGACAAAGCAGATTTCCTGACCTGAGGGTGATGGGAGGTTGTCCTCCCCTGTTGGAACAAACTGAAGATCAGACCCCAGAGCTGCTATGGAACTCCTGGGGCGAATGCACCGGTCACCTGAGAAGCTCCTGCGAAGCAATGCCTAAACCCAGAAACATCACACTTGTCAAAATTTCAATCATGTTCCATAATAAAATTGCTTCATCCAAAAAGAAAATAAAAATATATATTTCAATTCCTTTTAGATGTTGAGGTTTTCCAAATCAATCAATATTCCAAAGAAAACTGAGACACTTCTGCAATAAAATATGCAGCTTATTGCTTGCCTTTCGTGTCATGGGGCTGGTGGGTGCAGACGCACTGCTGTACAAACTGAGGCTTGAGTTGGACCTGCTGACAGCCAAACACTTAGTGGTGCTTTCTACTGGTGACAAGTACTTCTCTTTAATCTTCAAGTTGGTTCGACCTTTCACTGTTGATGACACAGCAAGAGAACTTGACAAAATACTGTGAAACCAGTCATTTATCAGCCATTTCAGAGATAATCAACAGCTGTCAATAAAAACTAAAAATTGATAATAGAAGTTAATAAATTACTAAAGATTATTTTATTTATAATGATTTTGGTGTAGAGGATACGCCCATTTCCCCTCACCTCATCCTGCCACTGATTGACCTTTGACCACTTAAAGTCAAAGCCCCCTCCTCTCACAGACTGAATTCTCTTTTCAGCTCTCATGTAGAGCTATTAAAAATAAGCCTTTTCACTGTCCACTTTTCTCTTGGGAAAAGTTCATGTTCTCAAGGATCTGTTATTTTGCTAATAAAACAAGTCAAAACAAATGTTCTGTTTGTTTCTGCTGTTCCACTCACATGGATAATTCAAATGCATCAACCCTTTAAAATGTGTTTGACTTTGTCAGTAATTTCTAAGGGCTCTGTAGTTATTTTATAACTCTGCATTTGATGTGATTATGATGTTTAGATCATGTTTAGAAATGATGATTTAGTATTAACAGAATATGTTTGCTTTAACCAATGCTTATGCCTTTAGCTTTTTACATTTTCTGTTTTTAATGAACATTACTTAATCATTTATTAGTTTACTAATAGAATTCATAATTAATCATTAGTTAATTGAAATATTAGTTTAATGTTTCTCTGAAGAGTTGAGTTAGTCCACTCATAATGTTCATGCTTTGTTTTGCTGATGTCCTTGGGCCTTCACACACAAAGTTACACACACACATACACAGGGTTCTCATGGGAAGTCCCCACATCTGAACACCTCCGGATCACATCGCGCACACACGATTCTTTCTGTTTTATTAAAGGCACAGTGTGTAGGATTTTGTCAATTCTTTCAGCCAAAATTGAGATAATCACTAATGACAATAATAAAAACATGTCTAATCATTGCATACAAATACCTTGTTTTATTATTTTTACCTTATAAAAAGGTGTTTACATCTCCATGGTCACGGGTCGCCAGTACAGGCAGCCGCCAACTTGCACCGCCATCTTGTCTACGAAGGCTCATGAAGGACAAACTGCGGTGGCGGCGTCAAAAACGGTTTTAGTTGTAANATCACTAGCCCTGAAGCTGCTGGTAGACATCACGGTTGGAATTATCAAAGGTTTTTGACACCTGAGAGACACCGTAGCAACTCCTTTGTGTTTGGAAGCGGGGGTGGGGTGGGGGAGGACCAGGGAGGATGATTCAACCACTCAACCACTAGATGTCGTTGAAAACAGCAAATCCTACACACTGTGCCTTTAAAACTGTCTCTTTTCTTCCTGTTCGTCAGTTGTCTCTGTCCTCTGCTGCCAAGCAGGGTGCTGGGCACCTTGCCAGCTCTTGTTCCTTTGCTAGGAACTTTAAATGTTTTTCCTGCAGCATAATTTTCTACCTTTTTACAAGGAAATACCACCTTTTTGTTTCGAGCCTTGTTCTTTCTGAAACGTCAACTTGCTGAGAGTTCCTGGTGGGCCCTGCCGGCTCTGACCTGCTGCCTCGCTGCTAAGACCTAGTTCCAGAAGGCCTTTTTCCACTTGGCTGACAGAGGAGTGCTGCGGTGTTTGTCGTTCAACAGACAGACACCTAGTGAAAAATCTCTGTTCCACTGCCTACTTGCTGCTGGCCCTGGCTAAGGTAAAAAGTTGACGCTCACCCCGGTCCCAGACCTAAAGCTCACAGCCGAACATGACTTACTTAAAAACCTTCAGAAACCTTTAAAAGATACATCCATTTTATTTGTCTGTCTAACTGCTCTCCCTTCTTTCTCTCTTTCTTTCTCTCTCTGTCTGCTCTCCCACCTAAATCAAATACACTCGCACCCACACACACACATTGACCCAAAATGAACATAAATTAATCTGCTTTTGCTTAGATAAACCGTTAGACAAGTTGCTTAAAAGATTAGAAACAATAACGTTTTAGTGAGAGCCCATTTTTATTGTTCATTGTATGTAACTACAAATATTAATCATTCATTAACCTCTTTTAATAAAAGTCAGTTAACTTTAACTGGCCAAAATAAACCTGAACGGCTTTGTTTATTTCTTGTGTTTGTGTCTGATCGTTTATTTTGCATCAACAGAATCATTTACCAAGCCAAGAAGGAAAACTCTCATTAAAAATCATATCCATGGTTTTTAATATGGGGTTTTCTACTACATTGGTGTTATCCAAAACAAATCACAATTCAATTATATGTTAATTGTTGAAATTTAGTATCTGCCATAAAGAGAATTTTGGGTAAAAAATCTATAATGTAGTCTCAGAATGATTATACAATCAGAATTAAATTTTCAATCCTGTCTTCATCCAGGATTCTGAACAAGCATGTTTAACAAGTACTTTAAATGGTAAATGTACATTGTTTGTCATCAATGCATGATCCCATGCAATGATGAATTTTGTGCTCTGCATTTGACCCATAACATGTGAGAAACACCCAAGTAGAGCAGCAGGCAGCTATGTAGGCGCAGGGAGCAATTGCGGGTTAGATGTCTTGCTCAAGGACTCTGCAACATGTGGGTATGGCAGGGAGTCAAACCTGTGACTTTCTGGTCCTAAGTCGGCAGCTCCACCCCCTTTTTTTATTAAGCATGTTTAACATCCATCCATCCATTGATTAATTATCTATACCGGCTTCTTCCTCTCAGGGTCACGGGGGGTCACTGGTACCCATATCTAGCAGTCACAGTTCGAGGGGCAGGGTACATCCTGGACAAGCCTCCAGTCCATCACAGGGACACAGACAACCAATCACTCTCTCACTCACATCTATGGACAATTTAGAGTTACCAATTAACCTAACAGCATGTTTAACAATTACTTGTTATTGGCTTTGAGTGTAAAACAGGGCTATTCAACTGGCGGCCCGCAGGCCAAATCTGGCCCGTGAGTGACCAAAGTTCGGCCTACCAATTGGTTCATTCATCTCTTAAGCCCAAACCTCCGGTTTTCTACTTTAATTACTCTAAGTTCCTTTAGTTAGACATAGACATGTTTGGTATCTACAGAAACGTCAGAATCTTGGCTAGAAGCTGGTATAAACCATTTCTATGCACAATCAAGACAGTTAAAACTACAAGCAGTTGAAGATAGAACTATGAAAGTGAAAATAAAATTGGTTTAAAAATTTGACAAGTCAGAGATGTCAAAATAATATATGTGTCAATTAGGAGGCATAATGTATTCTTTTTGTTTTTGATACTGTTGAATTATGACTACTTTTATAGGGTTCTGTGTGTTATATTCATGATTAAATGCAGCAAAATAAACAATTTCAAAGATAACAGATCTTTGTAATACTTGATTTATTTACATAATAACTTAAATTGCTGGATGTTCGGCTCCTGAGCTGTTGACCTGCAGTAACTGTGGCCCCCGGAACAATTTAGTTGAATGGCCCTGGTGTAAAATATATTGTCTTAATTGGTTGATGATGAAGATTTGTGGGTATATTATTTGCACTGATCCGAAAACAATATTTCTTTTAGCATACCCGCTGAAGGTAAGACTGCAACCAATGCTTGGCTGGACTGAACTCACCACACTGCTGCACTAACAAGCCAGAACAGACTATCTGCTCAGGAAACTCAGGTCCTTTTGAGTGCAGGGAAACTTATCAAGACCTTCTATAACACTACTGTGGCATCAGCCATTTTCTACAGTGTGGTGTGCTAGGAAGCATCACAGCTAGTGATGGGATAAATGGCTCTTTGAAGGGATCCGGATTTTGGGGAGCCATTTGTTTCATAGGGCCGTTCAAAAGAGCCGTTCGATTTTGAAGGAGTTACGTCATCACGTAGGGAAATACATCATCACATACAGCGATGTGATCATGCTACGTGGGTGGAACCATGTGTTTTGTCAAGCAGAAACCCCCCTCCCCATTTTCCGTCAACTTCTGTACTCCACCGCTCTGCCTGTTTTCTGTGAAAAAGCAAAGCAGGAGCGATTTAAAGATGAAGAAATGAAGATTATATGAGGAACAAAATAAATAAAACTACAAATGGCTCATTACTGCCTGTGACTCTGCTCCTATCGTTTGTTGTAAAAAGCCGTTCAAAATAATTGGATTGTTTGTGAACATCACATCACTAATCACAGCAGCTGACAGAAGATCAGAGGACAAACTGATCAGGAATGCCAGCTCTGTGTATATGTGTGTGTGTTTATTTATATGTGCGTATGGGTATATGTACATACATCTGTTTAAGTTTGGTTGCTGGGTGTTTGCTCTCTTCATTTGCTGATGGTCAGATGTTGGGTGTGCTGTCCTGTATGTTATTGGTGTTCATTTCACATTGTATAATTTCTATCAGTTTCTCTCTTTACTATTCTTATATTTCTCTTCTACTTTTTCTTTTTCTTCTTTACTACAGTATAAAAAAGCCACTGATGATGCAGAAATTAAGAAACTAACATTCAGTTTTGTTTTCTACTGAAGTGGCAAAAAAAAGGAATGCCAGCTCTGTCCTGGTGTGTCCTCTTGATTGATAGATAAAACAATTTTCCCCTGAGTGTCAGACAACCCTCCTCTCTTCCTGTTTTTAAATCTCTTTTAACACACCTTTATTCTTAGGCTTTTAACCCACTGTGCTCTTGTGTAAACACACCTGATGTGAACCTGGTATGTGTTGTGTGTTTGTTTTAATATCTTAACTTATTTGTGTCTTATTGTACAGCACTTTGATTGATTGATTGATTGATTGATTGATTGGTTGATTGATTGATTGATTGATTGGTTGATTGATTGATTGATTGGTTGATTGATTGATTGATTGATTGATTGATTGATTGATTGATTGATTGATTGATTGATTGATTGATTGATTGATTGATTGATTGACTGATTGGTTGGTTGNGATTGATTGATTGATTGATTGATTGATTGATTGATTGATTGATTGATTGATTGATTGATTGACTGATTGGTTGGTTGATTGATTGATTGATTGATTGATTGGTTCATTGGTTGATTGATTGATTGATTGATTGATTGATTGATTGATTGATTGATTGATTGATTGATTGATTGATTGATTGATTGATTGATTGATTGATTGATTGTGGTGTGATAGAGGACAGTGAGGGCCCAGCTCTCATTTATGTTACTGGTATACTTTGGTTTGTGAAAAAAGAAAACTGTTACAAACCTCTGCAGGGGTCATTTTTCACCAGGAACTCATCAAGAGCAGTCCAGCCTCCTCCAACTCTGACCATCAATGTGCTGCGCAGGATTCGAACCATTCGTAAATGTTGAGAATCTCCAAACTGCAGCAAACCATGAAGATAACACATATAAGCTTAAATTTGAATGTAGTTCTCTATCTCCATCTTCTACTGCTTATCCATATTCAATTAAATTTAGTTTATTTATATTGCACCAAGTCACAACAAACATTGTCTCTGGGCACTGTACAAAAAACAATTTATGGAATGAAGCTAGCAGATTGTGTTGAATCGTCACTTCATAGGCAGGTTGAAACCCAGAGAGAAACTCAGACATCCCTCTACCCAGCAACACCAGCTTCTCCTGGGTGACCCCTAGGTGTTCCCTGGCCAGAGAAGATAGATGATTCCTCCAGTGAGATCTGGGTCAGACCTTGGCCTCTTCTCACTTGGACATGCTTGGAAAACCTTCAAAGGTACGCATCCAGAAGGCATCCTAATCAGATGCCCAAACCACCTCAACTGATTCCTTTCGATGCAAGGAAGTGCCTTTACTTTGCGCTACCCCCAGATGATGAAGCTCCTCAGCCTATCTCTAAGACTGAGCCTGGCTACCCTACAAAGGAAGCTCATTTTGGATGCTTGTATCTGCAATCTTTTTATTTCTGTCATGATCCATACCTCAAGGCCATAAGTGATGGTTGGAATGTAGTAAATCAAGAGCTTGGCCTTTCAACTCAACTTTTATTTTACCAAGACCAATGGCAGAAACATGGCCTGATTTGTTGATACTCCCACTCAATCCGATCATAACTCGTGAACAAGATGCCCAGATGCTTGAACTCCTCTACCTGAGGGATAGACTTCACACCTGACCCAGAGGGGGCATTCTACTTATTTTGGGTTAAGAACTATGCACTTGGAGGAGCTAGCGTTTAAACCAGCTGCTTCACACTTGGCTGCAAACCGCCCCAGTGCACATTGAAAGTCATGATGCACTGATGCCAACAGAACTACATCATCTGCATAAAGTAGAGACAAAACTCTGGGATTCCCAAACCAGACACCCTCCTCTTCACAAATGCATACATGAACAACACAAGCACTAGATAGAAGATAAGGGTAACTCTGTTGGAGTTCAATCTGTGCTGAGAATGAGCTCAATTTTGTGCCAAAACTGCAGACACAGCTCATGCTTTGGTTATACAAAGACTGGGTAGCCCTTAAAAGCTATCCTGGCATCCTATACTCCAGCAAAAGCCACAACAGAATGCCTCTGGAAACTTTGTAAAAAGCCTTCTCTAGGTCTACAAAACACATGTAGTTTGGCAAGTCAAACCCCTATGACCCCCTTTACCCAAGGGTAAAGATCTGTTCCATGACCAAGATGAAAGCTGCACTGCTCATCAGGAATCAGAAGTTCAACAACCAATCAGAGAATCCCTTCTAATACTCTGAGGTAAACTTTTCGGGGGAGGATGAGTAGTGTGATCCCACAATAGTTGGAACACCATCTTCAGTCTCTCTTTTTATAAATGGAAACTACAACCCTGTTTTGCCACTCAACATGCATTTTCTTAGGTCATGTTCACACATCATAGTTTGGTAGACTCGGTTGATTGGGGACCAAAATTGCAAGATTTGTTTACGTTTTCAATTGGGGCGGTCTGCATTCACATTGCAATTTGTCAAATGAACTAAACCCTGTGGACAACCTGTTCCGCCCCTCACCTGTGGTGGCGCTGCACCAAGAACCACTGAAGGAATCAACATGAAAACCTCAGAAGAAGACATGGAGCACCCCTTCCTTCTTCACAAAATGTATACAAACATTGAGTGATGTCAGATTTTAGAGGCTGTAGAATTTATTTATTTATTGGTTTCAGCAAATGTGCCAAACAAATAGTCTTCAACAATGGGATCAACATGAGTGGAAGATGAGGCGGAATCACAAAGAATATTGTTTTCCCACACAGGGAGCTGAGACGGCTCCATGTGAGGTGGCTTTCACAGAGCAGGAGCGCATCCAACTTCACAGCAGTGATGTTCACCTTATACAGACATCCAGCTAGATATTTGAGTAATTTTTATTACTATTATTACTCAGAATGATCTGCATTATAGGCCGTTTCCTGCTTTTGGAGTGGCCTCTGGTCTGCTTAGCACTCACACATGCAATCAAACCGCTCCAGAGTACGCTTCAACTGAACCAAGACCTACCTTTACAGGCAGACCAGAGTTCGCATTTTTGGTCCAAATCAGAGTTTGATTATGCGTTTACACTTACCCAAACGAACCAGACTTTCCAGGCAAACAAACTAGAGTTTGATTAAAGCAGACTAAACAGGACTGGTGTGAATGCACTCTTAGGCCTCCATGTAACATTGAAGAGAACTTTCAACAATGATAGTTTCACAAAATCCAGAGCCTTCAGTGTCTCAGGGTTAAATCGTTCACCCCCGACACCCTGGGAGCTTTTTTGACTACCTTGGTGACCTCTGCCATGGTAATGAATTTTTCTTCCACTGAGTCCTAAGAATCTGCCACCTCAATGTTAGACATAGCAGATGAATGAAAGAGATTCTTGAAAAGCTCCTTCCACCGGGCGTTGGAGGTGACACTTCAAAACTTCTGCAACATTCACTGCTTTAAATTGTCAGACTGTTTTTTGTACATATTACATTTTATGTTTACACCAAAGAGGAAGGTAAACCAGTAACTTATAAATGTAAGGATAAGGTATTTCAGTGTCTAAAAGAAAACTCACTCTGTATCTGTTGGCACTTATTTGCTCCACTTGGAACTTCTTAGGGCAGTTACATAGGGACACCTGTCGACTCACCTACGAAAGAATAAAAAAATGAAAGGCAATAGATACCCCACTTTAAATTTAAATGATACTGCACACTCAGTCCCTACCTCTTCATTGATCTGATCTGCATCCAGTGTTTTCCTGTAGGGGTCCCTGCTAGGATGGAGCGCACTTACAAATTCATAGTAGTCAATGAAGCCATCGTTGTTCATATCAAAAATGTTTGCCACTGCATTCATCTCCAGAGAATTTGTTGGAAATTCTACAATTAAGGAAGTGAATGAAAGAAATAGGAAAACTATAGATTTTGACATTTAACACTTGTGAAAATTCATGACCACCAACAGTCTTACTAGAAGCAAGAACATAATCAATGAACTCTTTCTGGCTGATCCGTCCATCTTGGTCTCGGTCAATGGTCCGGAACACGTCTAAAATTCGAGACTTCATATGGCTGATCCACTGCATGTAACGCTTTCGCCAAATATTGAAGTCAAAGTTGGCAAATTCCTCCATCTGACAGAAAATAAAAAAAAAACAGTCACAAAACTTTTCCTAAGGTTATCTCTGCTACAGTGGTCATCATTATTGTAGTATGTATTGAGCCATTTTGAAAAAGCCACAATAACCTCTTTGAGCATTTGCTGGTGTTGTTCTAAGCGACTTTGTCTTGCTGCAGCCAGGTACCAAAGTTTCTGCCACTGACTGACCAGCTGAGTAAGCGGTGGAGTCTGGGGATCAAGGTGCTCAAGGGGGACAGGTATAATGGGTGGCAGCTTCATCGTGCTCCTTCTCTCTGCATGGAAAATTAGTCATGTGAGTATTATCTTTGATCAAATAGTACCTGTTTTACACATTTTCAGATGGTCATCAAGCTAGCAATGCTTTTAATGTTTGTCTGATTACTCTAATTTGTTGTAAACTGTACTGTTTTCTTACTTGTGAGTGGCCGCTTGCTGGGGGAAACGTGGTGCTTGGGAGAGCTCTTGTGTTTGCAGGATTTTGTGGCATGTTCAATTTCTGGAAACTGTTTGTTCATTTCCTCTATAAACATCTGCAGAGAGCAGCAAATAGTTCATTAAATGGCATCACTAATGTATGTAGTCTCTATTTTCAATGGATTAGGTTTACAACAGCCTGTCTACACCTCTATTTGGATTCAGTGCTGTTGAATTCAGTTGAATTCAATGCAATTCAATATATAAATCGGAAATGAGATGAAATCATATTAAACAAATCTGGAAATCATTACAGTTTGGCACATACAAAGCTTTGTTTTGTGTTTTGCATAGTCAGAACAAAAAATTAAAAACAAATTACATTTTGAAAGCTTTATAACAATAAGGAATCAACAGAGAGGAAACGGAAGGTAAACTGTGGATATAAAACATCACTTCATCAAAAAAATATGAAAAAGTTATGAGAAAGTCATCAGATATCTTCACCTTTGTGAAGTAAAAGTATAAAGTTACTGAAGTTATTTGTTTTGGATGAAATTCAAAAGGCACCATTGTTATTTGTGTCACTAATGTAATAAATAAATAAATAAATAAATAAATAAATAAATAAATAAATAAATAAATAAATAAATAAATCCAAACATTTCTGCAGTCATAGGTTAACCCACCTAGAAAGATGCTAGTTAGCATATTATAAAATGATCATTAAAATATTTTACTGTTACTTCCACCCATGACCTACAATGAAAACAGTAGCTTAATAAAGACATACAGACCACTGGGAGGTGATGTTCATCAAATCTGTTAAACTTTGATCAATATTTTTGAAAGTTTCTAATCCCCAATGGTAATTGTTTGTTGTCAGTAATACTTGACAGACCACAGTATTTTGGCACTAAATTTTTCAAAGCCATATTGTTTTGTCTTCTAATTAGGATTTTAAGCAAACACTGGTGGAAGTGAGTTGACTAGCAGGAAAGTAGAAGGGTTGTTTTCACCAAAAAGATGTTGGAAGCATAGGTCAAAGGTTGAAAATGCAGACTGTGTTGCTCTGTGATGCTTTGAAGTATCTAGAAAGGTAAGTGAATTTGTATTTTGTGTAGCTCAAAATGACCGAGGAGAGAAATACTATACCTTGTGCTGCTCAATAAGTTTTTGGTTTTGCTCTGTGGTTTCAGGCAGAGACTCTTGATCTCTCAGGGTGACAGCTTCTTCTGCTGATGAGATCCAGTCCAATAATCTCTGAACTTCTTCTTTTTTTGCATCCAGTGCTGCCAAGCTGTCCTGGATCTTCTGGTTCTGCTGCTGGGCCCAGGTCTGAACCTGGCTCAGAAAACACATTTCACAGTGTCAGGACCTGTTTCATTTCTTATTCACTGATGGTAACAGTTAACTTGATGATAATATAGCTCATTTGGAAGGAAATTGAAATGTTTGCATGATTATTTTAGCATGAAGGAACTCACCTCCTCATAACGAGTTTTAGTTACGCTGATCCAAGATTTGAGAGTTATAATGGCGTCTGGGTGACACAAGGTTAAAATCTCCTCACCCAGACTCTGGATGTTTTCTAAGTCCTCTGTTTGAGTCTGCAAGGCAGCCACTGATTCCTATGGGGGTAAAGACAAAAAAATGCTACATCTTTTATTCAGTGTCATGAGCTTTTTGTTTGTTTGTTTGTTTGTTTGTTTGTTTGTTTGTTTGTTTGTTTGTTTGTTTGTTTGCTTGTTTGTTTGTTTATTTGTTTCACACAAACAACAATTTGTACTTACATGCCTAAAATTTATTTTTTACCCTAAACAGTTAAAATCCTTGATGTCACAGTCATCTCCATCACACCTGAGTTTATCTTTCTTTAGCCAACTCCTTATCAACACCTATGACATCCCCAGAAGGAGATAGGGTGGGAAACAGGATTTTCCCAATCAGTTCCTGGTAAAACTGACCTTGTGTTGTCTGTAGAAGGCCCTCAAACCATCCTCCTCTTCAGGCATGACCCCATATTTCAGAATTCTCTCCGCTTCAGTGAGCCTCTCCATGAAAGAGTGTACAAGACCATCAAACTTCTCAGACTGAGAAGAACAGAAACAATGGCACAAATAAAAAAGTTAAGAGTTTTAAAAAGTAGTTTCACATTATTTTCATGGTTGTGCAACTATGGGGTGCCAAGTGTAAAGTAAAATTGTATAAAAATGTCACTAACACATTTTTATTGTTTAGCTCACATTCTGAGTGTAAAATCCTACTTTTCCATAACATTTTATTATTTGGCTTACTGTTCTGACATTTAGCCGGTTTTATTAACTAAATGTTAATTTTAAATGTTAAGTAATACACTGTATGTGTCCTCTTCAGGCATGACCCCATATTTCAGAATTCTCTCTGCTTCAGTGAGTATTAACAAATCAGGTGGCAGGATGCCACATTGTATAATGTCATCCTGTGTGTTACTAAAATAGCACTCATTTTCCAATAACTTTATGTTAATAGTGTTAATAGTTAATAGTTAATAGCACTAGATATTTGCAATAATTATATCTTAATAGTGAGTTTGTAATGGTCTCAAAGTTGTTAGCGCCCATTAGCATAATTTCATCCTTTGTGTTACTAAAAATAGCACTGCACAATTTTCCATTTTGCTTGGTTAAATATAGTGTATACACACATTTTTCCCATAATGTTTGCACTTTAGGACTTTCCGATATTTAATTAAATACTTTGTGACTGTTGTAAATGCATTAGTATTTTCACATATGTAGCTGCATATTTATCTGTTGCAGACCACACACACAAACATATCGGCATTACTGCCAATATCCACATGTTCACCTGTAAATTGAAAATGAATGGGTAAGCTGTGACATTTACAAAGACTCTACAACTTTCCAGTCTCCAAATCTTTGACCAAAATCGCTTGTCCATGTTGGACACTTAAACCAGATCTATGTAGGAGTGTTCTGCTACACTTAACACTTTGACTTCATACCTATACATGAGAACAGCTGTTGTGTATTTGTAAGCAGTACCTGCTGAAGTGCAGCCTCTAGCCTGTCCTGTTTGCTGACTGACAGCTTGCACACAGACTCCCAGCGTCCCCCCAATTCATCCATCTGCTCCTGCAGCCAATGGGCATCTGCCATGCTGCTCCGGGTCAGATCCCTCACAGAGCGCTTCAAGGTCCTTATACAACCGGCTCGTTTTCCTAGCTCTTTCTGGAAAGCCTGGAAAAAATAAAACAAAATGTTATTTCATTTTCCTAAAAACAGCATGATAGTTTATAATAAATATTAGCACTAGTTCTGTGAGAAGAAAAGACATGCTTCTGTAGTAGATATGTTGTACACTGTTTGAATCTCACTTGAATCTTACTGAATTTCTCTAAGTTGTTTTGATAAATCTTTAGCTCAGTTGGGATCTGAATTTGTCCATTTGTGTGAAAGCTGTACCTTATGCTTGTCAATGAGATTGTTGACTGTGTCTTTGTCGCCACCAACAGGAACATCTTCAGCAAGCTGAGGCTCAGCTCTGTACAGCCAGTCATTCAGTGCTTGCAGGGCATCGGTAAATCTTCCTGAGAACAGCAGTGCTTCTTCTAGCCTATGCTGTCTAGAAAGTAAAAAGTATTGTGAATACAGCCTAGGGTGAAACCTTTGAAACAGGACTAGAAAGTCAAAAAATTTCTCTCACTTTGAGACAAAGCCAACCGAGACAGACACACTCCACCACATTGCACACAGCAGCTTCACCCTCATGGTGGAGGAGAGGGAGGTGAGGAACACGCTGCAAGCTGTGAAACCGAGGAAGGCCACCGGACCAGATGGTATTTCCGGATGGGTGCTAAAGGTGTGTGCAGCTCAGCTGGTGGGAGTTTTTACTAGGATCTTTAACCAGTCTCTGTCACAGGCCTCGTACCACCCTGCCTGAAATCCTCCATCATCATTCCGCTGCCCAAGACGTCATCAGTTTCCAACCTGGATGACTACAGACTCGTTGCCCTCACCCCAGTGGTGATGAAGTGCTTTGAGAGGTTGGTCCAGAGCCACATCAACTCTCTCATCCCTTCCACATTTGACCCACACCAGTTTGTCTACAGGGCCAACAGATCCAAAGAGGACGCCATAGCCACAGCTCTCCACACAGCACTATCCCATATGGAGCAGCAGGGGAGCTATGCGAGGCTTCTCTTTGTGGATTATAGTTCCGCATTTAACACCATCCTGCCCAACAGGCTGGTGTCCAGACTAGTGGATCTGAGTTTTCCACTCTCCACCTGCAGCTGGATCAAGGATTTCCTCACCAACTGCACCCAGAAGGTCAGGGTGGGCCCTTACACCTCAACGGCCCTCAGCATCAGTACAGGTTCCCCACAGGGCTGTGTACTGAGCCCACTGCTCTACACCTTGTACACCCATGACTGTACCGCTGCCCACCATASCAACACCACTATCAAGTTTGCTGATGACACCACAGTGGTGGGGCTCATCTCTGGGGGAGACGAGTCTGCTTACAGCGATAAGGTGGAGTGATTAACGGTGTGGTGCAGAGACAACAACCTGATTCTGAACACAACAAAACCTAAGGAACTTGTTGTTGACTTCAAGAGGAAACAGACTGACATCCAGCCGTTACATATCATGGGGACTGTGTGGAGAGGGTCTCGGACTTTCGCTTCCTGGGGGTTCCCCTCTCAGAGGACTTAAGCTGGGGCTTTAACACCAAGGAGCTGGTGAAGAAGGCCCAGCAGAGACTCTACTTAATGAGGGTCCTTAAAAGAAATAACATCACCCAGAGACTGCTGGTGGCCTTCTACTGCTGCTCCATTGAAAGTGTCTGTGTGAGTGGTTCTCTAGCTGCACAGTAGCTCAGAAGAAAGCACTCCAGAGAATCATAAAGGTGGCTCAGGACATTATTGGGTGCCCTCTGCCGTCTCTGGAGGAATTGCACAGGATGCGTTGCCTCCAGAGAGCACGACACATATACAGAGACTCATCACACCCCGGGAACAGTTTGTTCGTCCAACTACCATCAGGTAGAAGGTTCAGGACTGTTAGGACCAGAATGAACAGACTCAAGAACAGTTTCTATTCAACAGCAGTTAGACTTCTAAGCACACATGGTTAACTTGGCAGCACTACGGTTATGAGCAATAATGTCCACCTGACACTTTGATATGGCTGCTACTGTAGTTTTTTTTACTTTTTTCTTATTTTATCTTACTTTTTTATTATATTTTTACTTCTTTATTTTATCTTTTTAATGTTCTGATTTATTTGCACTACAGGAGCTGCAAAATTATTTCATTGTTCATTGTCTGTGGACCGCAGTGTTCTTTTCGGTGCAACAATGACAATAAAGATTTATCTATCTATTATTATATT